TTTCAGAATTTTATAAATCTTTTTAAGAGAAAACTTTACAGATATCAGTAAATCAAGTTTAGTTCTTCAAAGGAAAAAGTTTCTGTAGTCATGTCATCCTCCTGTAAATGTTATTTCACTGCAATATACAACACTNAGTCACAAGAAAACCCTCAAGAGTTTTTAGTAATAAATATAAAATATTGATTTAACAATGAAATATAAGGATCTTTCTGTTGTGGTAGTCGTGCAAGTGAAATTTCCTGCCAAGTTTACAGAACCAGGGGAGAAGTTTTTCTCGCTGGACTCTGATATATGTGACATACCAAGGATATTCTGTATGTAAGGTCTAAATAAGATGAAGCGTGATAGCAAGAAAAACTTTATTGATCTAGCCTTTCATATTGAAGTCCTTGAAAACAAGTGTAGTAATATCAGTGTCATCTGATGTTTCACATTAACCTATTACATAGAAATATATTACCCATATTCTGCATTTCCTAACCATTATAAATCATAATTCGTGTAACATAATGTGTTACATTACCAATTTTGAATAAATAAATGATAATGTTTAATAATCATTTGAATTACATTAAATTCTAAAGGACAAATATTAGAGAAAAGTTTNTAGGTTCGTGTATTATAAATATCGTTTCGTATCGGAGAGCAGAAATGGTTATATTATTAATATGCGATTATTAAAAGCGTTTAAAAATTAATGATTTTTCGGAATAATTAGCAATTTTTAACAAAAAAATAATTGATAAAATTAATTACTTTAAGTTCACTCTTTGATAAAGAACAATGCATAGAACTGGTGAAAAGAAATTTTTGAAATAGGAAATGATAAAGTCATTCAATATAGCACGAAGATAAAAGAAAGGTTCTAAGTGAACTCCTTTGAGTGATAAATATCAATGCGTCATTTATATAGAAGGATAATACAGATAAGAGTTACAAAAGGAAGTAAATTTTTCTAAGTGATAGACTCATTATTATATATCATATCATATTTTATATAAAGTAAAAAAAGGAATAAATATATCAATAAGCTAGTCGTTTAATAGTCTAAGCGATCCCCGAGCAGTATAAGGATTAAATAAGATTTTATTTGCGATAAAATTTTATACGCAATTGTTCGGTTCTACTTATACTAATCATAAAGAAGTAAATATAAGCAAAATTCTAGAATTTATTTATTAAATCAATAATTTCATCTGAAAATGATAGTGATATTTATAAAGCATTAAAAAATTCACTGTAATTAATTTTCATATTATAATAATTTTAGTTGAAATTAAAATTGAATTTTAATTCTATCCTTAAAAATAATCACTAGTTAATTAATACATAAAAAATCAGTTATGATATAACTAGGTCATTACAAATGAATACGATTTAGTTTATTTATAAGATAATAAATAAAACAGAAGGATAAGTAAAAAGGAAAGTGAGAAAATCCCATGAAGTACTTCAGACACAATTCTCATCCAAGTTTGTCTGAACGAATGTGAAAGTTCTGCAGACTTCTGACGTCTAATTTGTAGGTACATAAGATGAACAATAAGAAAGCTATATCAATAATTGAATCTCTTCCCTTATATCAAAACTTTGATCTTATATTTGATATGATAACTTACGTCTACCTTTTTTTTATGTTCAAAGAAAGTTAAATTTATATTATAAGGTTTAAGAGTATTGCTATTTAATATCGGAATCGAAAACCGAGAGAAATATATTATTTACATGTTAAATTTGTAGAAAGCATTAAATGTCATCATCAAATGTACAGATTACAAGAGGTATTCAATCTTTCCAACCAAATCGTTCTTAGTCTTCGAGGCATTCTCTAGGGATGCCAAACAGCCAATCAATCAGTTTATCCGAACAAAGCTTTTCTCTATATAGGCTAAATTAAACCAGCGTTGAAACTTGAACTAAGTTGTGAAAATTTACACATTTATTTTCTAAGTTTAATCTTAATTTTTTATAAATATTCGCCAATAATAATCTTGTGATAACTGTGAGAAGGTGTAATGTACTACAAAGAATACTAACTGAAAAGCCCTTTGTACCGTAGATTAAGTTCTTTTTCTAGAACAAAAGTCACTTTCTGCAAGAATCTCTCATATATCATCAGTCAAAGTTACAAAGATGCATTTAAAGATATTTTCTTTTATATTCAATTCTTTGTCATCTTTAAAAATTTCATAATTCAGTTTTACTCTTTAATATTTATCATTTTACACCAACAAAATATAAATTACTTAAATATTACTAATGATTAAGGACTATCACTTTACAAATATTTTAATGTAAGTATATATTAAACTAAATGCTTACTCTATAACTTTATTTATATAGAAATAATAATAATTTTTCTGGCCATCGACAAATGTTAGATATAGTATTTTTTAAATTGTAAAAATAATTTATTATTTAAACAAACCACAAATGGAAGAGAGAACCGCAATAGACAACCTACAATGACCAATTAGTATAATAGAGCTACATTACCATTCCACAGCTTATACTTTGGGCGACGTTCTGTAAACGTCAAGCATCACTTCAGCGTTAAGTTGTAGCTATACATTTTTAATGAAAAATTTATCGTTAAGTTTAGGAATTGAAGTCACTTTCGTAGTTCACGTATAAAATGTCTATCATTTACAAAACAAATGTGAATTGATACCGTAAGAAATTAATGAAATTATTAATTAAATTTTTAAAAATTCTCTCCCATTAAATACAAATTTATTATTAGTTTAACTACCAAATAACCTGTATTTTTTTCGATAAATTAGTTTTAATAGTTTATTAATTGTAATCTATTTTATAAATACTTTATCTGTACAAAAAAAAAATATAATTAATATTCAAAATAATATTCATTTGTTTTCTTCTACTTATATTAATAATAATTAAGTAAATATAAACAAAATTATGGAAAATTTCGATTATTTTTATTTATTAGATCAATAATTGCAATCTGAAAATAAAAGTGATATTTATTTCATAGCTCTTGTAATATAAATTAATGAGGAATTGAACATAATTAATTTAAACTTATTAGGTTCGTGTATTATAAATATCGTTTCGTATCGGAGAGCAGAAATGGTTATATTATTAATATGCGATTATTAAAAGCGTTTAAAAATTAATGATTTTTCGGAATAATTAGCAATTTTTAACAGAAAAATAATTGATAAAATTAATTACTTTAAGTTCACTCTTTGATAAAGAACAATGCATAGAACTGGTGAAAAGAAATTTTTGAAATAGGAAATGATAAAGTCATTCAATATAGCACGAAGATAAAAGAAAGGTTCTAAGTGAACTCCTTTGAGTGATAAATATCAATGCGTCATTTATATAGAAGGATAATACAGATAAGAGTTACAAAAGGAAGTAAATTTTTCTAAGTGATAGACTCATTATTATATATCATATCATATTTTATATAAAGTAAAAAAAGGAATAAATATATCAATAAGCTAGTCGTTTAATAGTCTAAGCGATCCCCGAGCAGTATAAGGATTAAATAAGATTTTATTTGCGATAAAATTTTATACGCAATTGTTCGGTTCTACTTATACTAATCATAAAGAAGTAAATATAAGCAAAATTCTAGAATTTATTTATTAAATCAATAATTTCATCTGAAAATGATAGTGATATTTATAAAGCATTAAAAAATTCACTGTAATTAATTTTCATATTATAATAATTTTAGTTGAAATTAAAATTGAATTTTAATTCTATCCTTAAAAATAATCACTAGTTAATTAATACATAAAAAATCAGTTATGATATAACTAGGTCATTACAAATGAATACGATTTAGTTTATTTATAAGATAATAAATAAAACAGAAGGATAAGTAAAAAGGAAAGTGAGAAAATCCCATGAAGTACTTCAGACACAATTCTCATCCAAGTTTGTCTGAACGAATGTGAAAGTTCTGCAGACTTCTGACGTCTAATTTGTAGGTACATAAGATGAACAATAAGAAAGCTATATCAATAATTGAATCTCTTCCCTTATATCAAAACTTTGATCTTATATTTGATATGATAACTTACGTCTACCTTTTTTTTATGTTCAAAGAAAGTTAAATTTATATTATAAGGTTTAAGAGTATTGCTATTTAATATCGGAATCGAAAACCGAGAGAAATATATTATTTACATGTTAAATTTGTAGAAAGCATTAAATGTCATCATCAAATGTACAGATTACAAGAGGTATTCAATCTTTCCAACCAAATCGTTCTTAGTCTTCGAGGCATTCTCTAGGGATGCCAAACAGCCAATCAATCAGTTTATCCGAACAAAGCTTTTCTCTATATAGGCTAAATTAAACCAGCGTTGAAACTTGAACTAAGTTGTGAAAATTTACACATTTATTTTCTAAGTTTAATCTTAATTTTTTATAAATATTCGCCAATAATAATCTTATAGACACTATTATAATATTAAAACGAAGTTTTTAAAAATATTATTTATTTATTTTTAACTTTACAAACTTCTATATTAACGGAAAATATATATTTTTTCTACATTAATATCGATTTAAATAAATATTGTTTAATGTACGCATACATATATCAGATCTAATATATTTTAATTTATAAAAACAAATTAATTAAATATCTAATTTATACAGTCGATAAAATATTTAACATTAATTGTATGTGCAAATATAGCACAGAGATTTTTTGAATCTTTTTAAATATTTTTAGATGATAATTTTATATTAAATATCAATTTTTATCATTCAATACGCAACTTTCTATATTTTTGATGAAAGCAGAAATAATTTATTAGAGTAGAAGGAAAAATGATAGATAAGGACAGGTGAAACTGCATTCCGTCTGTTTAATATTGAAGTGTACTAGACATATAACAGTAGGAGTCTAATAGATCGTAGACCGTCGTTCTAGATGCTAGTAGGGAGCGCCATGTCGTTTTTCACGTGACTTACATCCGGGACAGTTCGTTTCTATTGATCGTCTCTTCAGTCTGCTTTGCTTTACTTCCTCCCTTAGCTCGTACAGACAGCACAGGCGCAAGGTGAAACTAGAGTTCTGGAAGGTTGACGTTCTCAACACCCACATACACCAGCCTGTTGAATCCGTGGTCGACTATTAATGCAAATCATAAGTAGTACAATACCGCTCCTAATAGCAGCAATAGCTATGAACTCCTAAATATTAAGCCTAACGTAAAAATCGGCGTGGATATCTGCGTTAAGCAATTTATTATTTAAATAGTTATAAACAGGTGCAATGGACCATTGCTTCATGTATAGAACTGGGAGAAGGTGGTTTTGTGTGCATTATGCGTGGCTCGATCATTGCTGACAATTGACAGAAACGACAGGTAAGAATGTTTACTTAATAGATTCCGTAAAGTGATAATATCTCACTTACTTTTGCTTATCCTGGATTTATGAAACTTGTATCTTTTGATACCACTGTTGATACCCTTAAACAAATAATCAGGTTTATTCAGGTAGAAGTTCGAAAATTTTATCTCGTCGCGTAAATTATCATCGATTCGATTCCACTTTCTATATCTTCGACTAAAATTATATATTATTATAACGTTATTATTATGTTACATCATTGCCAAAAATAATAAAATTAATAAAATTACAAATATTATATTTCTAGATCCTTAAAGTTCTTAAACAAACATAGAACATCAAAACCTACGTGAATAACTTTAATTATAAAATCATCCTCTTAAAATTGCTTAAATATCGTTTAAAAATTAATTAGAAAAGTAAATTTATTTATATATTTTATCACTATTTAAACATTTCAAAAATAATTTTTAATGCTGCATATATATATACATACATAATTGCTTAACAATGTATTTTAAAAAGTCTAGTTATAAGATTTCTAATATCGAAAATCAATTCACTAGTTTATTGTCTATAAAAGAATTGATTGAACGTTATTAACAATAATAAAAAAATGATTTTATTCAACATTCCTTTCTACATTATTTCATAAATTACAACTAAAAATGAACGTATTGTAAATAAGCAATTTAATTTACGTCCATAAATCTACAATGAGGAATTTGTTACTTTATTACACCATAAAATATTTATATGCAATTAGAACTGCAATAATCTGGAATTTGTGAATAACATCTTGACAACACTCAAAAATCCAAGAATCATGATTATTGGTTCAATATCTAATATTTAAATTTCTGTAAGCTTTCCAATTTATTGTTATTATTATTTCCCTAGTTTAATTATCAAAACTTAATTAGTTTATTTACCCATTACTTTTAAGTTTAATTTATCAATTAGTATTAACACTAATTCGTCAAGTTTTTCCTCCATTGTTAAATTTAATTCATCAATTTTTACTATTTACTACGTTTAATTCATTAATTCCACTCAATTCATCTGTAATTTATCAATTTACTGAGGAAATCTGAATCAATTCCATTCTTTGCTTACTTTATTTATCAATTTATTCAATCAGAAAACCAATATAAAAACCAGATTTATTATGAAAAATAAAACTGTTTTAGCATAATTTTTACGTGGAATTAGCATTATATAAGACCCATTTTTGAAACATTCACAGCTATTGGTAGAATTTCCTTATAATAACACTTCATACAAAGGTAATTCAATGTCATGATAACGCGAAATATTTCGGAAAATTATTGATTCGTGATATTATTGTCACTTTCGTGTCCAAGATGATGGGTCACGCAAACCAAATTCCGTCACGATTTTAAATACAAATGTCACAAGGATAGAAATTTAGGAAATATTACCCCATCAGACTTGTCATCGATTTTAAATTCCGTTATTTTTAAAAAAATTTTAAACTAATTTATTATAAATTCGGTTCACGTTAAATATTTTTAAATTTATGGATATTAAAAAGTTTTAAATATAATATTTCCTTAATGTTTTCTTTTTATTTAAACATTTTATAAGAAATTACTGGCCTATATTTAATTTATTAAGAGTAAAAAACATTAATACTGATGATATAATCGGATTTATACTGTAAAAACTTTTATTGTATAGTTATATATAGGACTATATAATAAAATTCGATTATAAAAATTTACGTAAAGTTTTAAATAATTTAAATAGTAAACAAAAATCTTCATAAAACTTGAGTAAAAAGAATTTAAAATTAATAATTCAAATTCGGTGATTTAATTAGATATAATCCAAAATAATCTCTTCTTATCTTTTAAGAAATTTTATACATTTTAAGTTAAAGAATTAATTTAGTTAAATTAATTTGTTTAATATTTTAAATATTTTCTTTTGATATAATAAAATTGCAAAAGAAATGATTGATTATACTTTAAAATTCATAATTCGGAGAAAAACATTTTAATAGTTGTAATACTTTTATAACTTTTTTTTAATAACAACGAGGATTAAAATGAAACATTTTATAAGCGGCTTTTGCATTTTTATACACAAAATTTTAGGAATTTATGGTTTAAATTTAGATTCAACAACTACTTAAACAGAATAGAAACTTTATTTATCATCGTTGAAAGTGAGTAGCGATCATTCTTACAATTTTCAATTGACTCTAACCGTTCTTGATAACTACAGTAGGATCTTTTATCATAAATAAGTCAACTTCGTAAATTATTTATTAAGTTGAAATTTAAATCGATTACTTAAACTGTAAAAAAACATTTTCCCCTTTTTACTGTTGTTTATTTTACGAGTAAACTGTTCTTCGCGTGATTATGTTTCGATCAGATTATCTTCCGAGTGCAATTTTCTTTAAATTCAAAATTTTTTACAATCTAAAACGATAGAAAATTCTTTTTTTCATCCCGATGAGAATGTAAAAGATGTTTTTCTTTCTAGTTAGAAGTTGAATTTTTAATATTTTTCTTTCACTTTAACTTTTATTGTATACTTTTGTCTGAGTTAAAAGTTAGAATTAAGTACTATGCTCGTTGATGCTTAATATAACTTATAATTTGTGCTTTCATGATGAAATTAGTCTTGCAAAACTTTTCATCTGTTTGAATCTATCATTCAGAGAATTTGTTCCGTTCTGCTGATCTGAGATTCATCGCGTGTAACTTCCTTAACCGGTAGTGTCTCTACCGATTAATTACTGTGCTCCTCTCAACGTCACGCTGTCTCCTTGGAAACAAGTCGGGGATCATGTGATCTGTAACTAATTTGTGAGTAACACGTGGTAAATGAGAAAATTTCATCAATTAGTCTCATACGTGATAAACACTAACATAGTTTATATATAAAAGATTTATGCAAAATTGATCATGTTAGTGCACATCTAACCAATACTACAACGTATCTTTCCCATATCTAAATTCCTCATTCCACTATCTACACTATATAAATTAAGTATTCGTTTAGTAACTGACTGAAACTTCCAATGTGTTAAATTTCCAAAGATAAAACTTTATTCTTACTAGATTTTTTTCTAGATAAATCACTAGAGATATTATCATCAACTCCATTCCTGTGTAACATTATGGACTTCTAGCTGCTGATATCATAACGATCAGTAAAGTTGAGGTTTACTACCTTTTCAAATCCTCGAAAATCTAGACTCTAACGTCATTTCGTGGTTTATCTATGACTACAGTTTCATAATATTATCCCTCAAATAGTAAAATTATATAAGGTGATATCTTACATACTTTTATATTCAATCAATTTTTAGAACTTTATAAAATTTTTTTAAACTGATAAGTTTATTGCCTATCAAAAATATTAGTTTTAAATTGCTTTGAACATTTGATACTTGCAGTAATTTAAATATTATTTATAGAAAAATTGTTTTTGCTATCCACACTTTTATAGCAAATTAATAATAGCATAGACATTTACAACATAATAATTTAATAAATAAAAAATTAAAATTAATTCTAAACATAATCTGTATAACATCGAATAACAGATATTCAAATAATATAACATAATTTATAATAATTTTTATATTAAATTAACTTTTAATGACTCAATTATGAATTTAAAATGATTAAAATTAACATATTTTAAGCTAAAAAAATTTCAGTAGTTAAGGTTTTAAATAATCTAAAACAAATATTTTGTATCTTTGCTTAAAGAATATTATTTTTAAAACCTAAGAAACTCATTTAATAATAATAACAATATCCTGTTTACTTTTAAAATGTTTAAAGATTTAAGTTAAAAATAATTTTAACTATAAATAAACTTTTGTACTAAATTTACAAAGTATTGGCATGAACAAAAACACTTAAAAATTGAATTTTGATGATTAAAAAATCAATAGAGCTGTCGAAAAGTTGAAGAATCGAAATTTCGGAAGGTTTATAAATTCTTATTTTATTTTGGAATGCTTTTTTTAAAATAATTTTAAAATAAAGTAATTTTACTTATCAAACAGTTTTGATTTCAAGTTGACAAAATATAAAATCAATAGAATCATTCTAGAACTTAATTTTGATAAAGAAAAATCAAAGCATTAAAAAAATTTAAATATAAATTCTACAAGTAAACTGCGATTTTAAATAAATTTTTTAAAAAGTTTTATAAACTTAAATCTGACAAACTTTACACATTATAATATTTTTCGAAATATATTTACTAAATCTGAACTTTTTATAGAAATCATTCATCAAATTTATTCTATTTTCTTTTTATATTTTCTTGGCGATGAATAATTCTTTTATAGGGAAAAAAAGGTACTGGAAACTCTTTTCTATGAGCTTAGAAGCGTTAAACTCGGGCATTGTTATCCCCATAGATAAAGTGGATTTTTTTTGTTATAAATCGATTATATTCCGGAAAATTCCGAGTGTCCACACCGGAAAACAATCTTATTACCTATTTTTTTTCTACCGTGTTGTAAGTCAATATCTCATCTACCATCGAAACTATACATGTTGCACTTTCATATTTTAATATGTAAATAAATTGGCGTAACTTTCTTACTTTTATTCTTATTCGTAACCAATACAATGTAGTTGAATGTAGAAAAATCTGCATACACGTTAAGGATATTCAACATAATTTTTGTCTCATACGCGAATAAATCGGATAAGACGAAAGTGGAATAAATGATTTGTTTATATTTTAGAATATTTGAATAGTTTTAAAGTAAATATCATAATAAGAATATAATTGCCGCTTTTAGGTGTTCGATTATCATTCATCATTCTTAACGCCTGTAATTATAAATGGAATATGATAATATCGCACTTATAAATTATTTAAATATATTTTCGATAATGAAAAAAAAATTATTTTATCATCAAGAAAATGTTATGATTTATTTCTATTTTTGATTAATTTAATAATTAAATACGAGAAAAATAATTTTAATGCATGTGGGAATAATCACGAA